CGATGCCATATGTTGCTGTAAACTTGCCGATCGCATCTCTGAGCTATTAAAATAGATGGCAACATAAACACGATCACGTTCAACAGAAAGAATACGGAGATCGTTGATCGCTTCGCCATGCCTGGAAATGCCCTACTGCAACTAAGCTGTAAGAGTTTTCGAAGCTCGAGTCTTGACCGCAAATTTACAACTTCCTTCAAGATTATCTGCACTGCAAGCTTGCTTCAAGTGGGTGTTCTAGTTTTTCGAGAGGAAACCATATTTCACACAGTAATTTGCATATCGGGATCTGTTGACTTAAAAGAGCCAATGAATGAGAACAAACTCTTCGCGTGTCTTTTTGAAACCACATGCACGCTATATCAGGGTGAAAAGGGAATGACGGCGCAAGGAAAATAAATTTGGAATAAAACTCCTGACAGACATTTCTTTCCTCTTTCAGTTTCTATACAGTATAAATTTATCGGCAAAACGTCAAACGGGCTTGGCTTAACTTTTCACGCACTTCCGTTTTTTTTATGCAGCTGAGTTTCGACTCTTTTTATAAACTGTCTATCTAACTGCGTTATGTTTGGAGATCTATCTGTTTTACATTATCAACGCTATAAATAGACAGCTCTTGTCCATTAAAATAATGAACCTACAAGGTTAATTTAAGAGAAGTAAAACTATCAAGAACTTCACTTAAAACTCAGAGATGTGTCACAGCAAAGTTTCGTTTTGTCTTCCACGCGGCCGCAAAATGTTTTTCTTAAAAAAGAAGATTAAAATTAAGAAGATAAGATGACAGTTAATTGATAACCTTTCTTTCTTTTTTCACCGGTTGAATTGTTCGGTTTTGTTTTGTCTACCGAATTATGTACATTATCTTTTTTTAAAGTACAGCTGGATAAAAGTTAACTGTAAACTTTACACGCCGCAACATTTGCATTCTAATTACAAATTTAGAGTAAATTGCAAATCTGAAGATGAATTCTATGGGTGAGATAAAAGTGGTAACAAAAGTTATATCTCCTTCATCATATAAGCGAATCATGCTACTTTTCTAAAAGAACAGTTTTTTTATTGATATAAAGATCCCTTAAACGATTTTTCATGGAAATTTTCTTCCTTTAGTAAGAGCAACCTGAGAAGCAATTTGTAACCCGACCGGACGCGAAAATGCATGGCCAAGATGTTTGCTAACTACTTCAAACACTCCTTCGTCAATTAGAATACCAAAGTTGCGACGGAAACTAGAAATGTGCTCGAGAAAAAATATCCGGTTCGTTGCCAAATGTTCCAGTCACAGGGACAAAAGTCCAGCGCGAATTGAACAAACGACCCTTCTCTGTAAAATATCTGTTGGAAGAAATTATTATCGCCTAGAAGTTTTCATAGCTGGAGGACGGATATAAATATGTAGATAACTATTCCATTCAGGCGCAAGTCAAGAACGGAATTCACATGAGCCGAACATAATTGATAATGAGCGAGATTTTTGGGAGTTATTCTGTTAACTTCTATACGATTTTCGGAAATTTGGATTTTTAATCCGTTCTAGCGACTATTATGCGTGAGAAGGGGCTACTTTATTTTCTTGTTTCGAAAAAAGTGAGGAAACTAAAAAGAGATTCTTGTTTTCGGCGTAAACGACGATAAGCCCTAATAGAAAGATTTAAAAGCTTCACGTATACGGCAAACGGCAAACGTCTGATTCAAGTTGACTATTTCGCAAAATAGAAAATGTGCAGATAAAAAAAGCTCAAAACAAATCTTATGGATAAAAAGTTGCGCTAAACTACTAATTTATGCGTAGAAATAATCAACAGTAAACCACACGTAAACGTGATGCTTAACCTCTCTAATGAGAGTCGCCCAAGGACCCCTCTCTTGTCAAGCTCGGACTTGACAAGAGATTTGCATGTGCGTCATTGACCAGGGGTGAGGTCAAATATGGCTGGATATTGACCTGGTTCATTTTTTTTTTTCTGTTTTATGGAACGACAAGAAGACGAGTTCTTTAAAAACGTAAGAAACAACGAGGCAAATACCAAGCTCTCTGGACCGAACAGGCTTAGTCTCATCAGTCAATACAGGATTTATCACATAGCCAAAAAGAAAGTTTCTCCTGCGAAACCAACGCGGGAAACTCCGAGCGGCCACGATCGGCCCATCTTGCCGGCTCGGGTAGCCAATCAGATCACAGGATTCGCTTTATTATGCCCGCTCGCGGATTTCGCCATATAATAAAGAATTGTCTTGGTTAAGAAATGTTGATGACTTATTGGTCAATCAAACAGCTTCTGCTTTGACTTGCCGGATTATTAAATTTAGTTAAGTTTTAACGTACTACAAATTAGCCTGTGAGAGCATCCGGTTTTTTGGCTCTAGTTTCACCCGCCGAGTAAAACTTTTCGGAGGGAGAGAAGTGACGACCGGAAATACGTCTGCGGTTCGCAGGCTAACTACAAATTGAGATGAATAACATATAACATCAGGCTAAACAATTCATAGTCCCCGATTTTTCCGTGAGATCGACGAGATCAAAGGCTTTGCGTTACGGGCGGCCATCTTGGGTAACTATCAAATCTACTTAGGGGGTGGGGGACAGTTTGGGAGGAAGCGCCTCCCTCCCCCCACCGCTATAAAGTCCGAGGCCCACCCCCCGGCACATATGAAATTGAGGGTGCTCATCCCAAAGGAACGCACCCTAAGATGGCTGCCCATACCAGTTAGTGCTCGATCCTGATGATCTTACAAACAAATAGTGGACAGTGAACAATCTAAACAAATCAGTACATCTTACTTTTGCAAACAATCCGATTGGTCGAATTAGTTTACAAGGGTATTTGCATATACATCGCTGAGTTTTAAGTGGTCTTTCAATAAACAAAAGTGCAAGATTTCCTTTTCAAACCAACCGGGATAAAGATCAATGCTACAACTTCCGCAATGAACAAAAATAATAAAGAAAAGAAAATGCACGCGAAAATATAACAGCAAAATCACGTTAAATTCTAAACAGGACCTAAACGTCTATTAGCGGCAAACTGGAGAATGCAAACTCTGTTTAATTTCCTAAACGAACGACAAATAATTGGGAAAATCTCGACAAGTGTTTTCGTATGTTCTCAGACACTCATGAAATTTAAGTTTTCCCTTTTGGTTTGCACAGCTTCCCAATGATAATTTTTTCAGTCCCCTGATACAGCTGTTTTTCAAATAAACGCTTAAAAGTGAAAAGTCAAAGGATTTGTAAAAGGGATCAACATTTTAAAATACGAAAGTTGTGAAAGGTAAAAAATTACGACGGAGTAAGCATGATTAAAAATACAATACAAACAGTTCATCCTATGAGGTAATTCAGATTCTGGAATCCTGGAAATTTTTGCTTGTGGAATCCAGGGCTTTGAAATCCATCCCATGGAATCCGGAATCCCACGAACAATTGGAATCTGGACTCCAAAATCCACTGCCAATGAATCCAGAATCCAAAACGTGGAATCAAGAATTCAAGACTCTCAAATCACCCCACATGGGGCAAAACAGTAGCCTCCCATGCAGGTGTTGTTAGTGGAGCCCATATTTCATCATATTTTGTGGGAAGGGACTAAACACAAGCTCCCCTCAAACGACTGGGTGGGAGGCTAGCAAAACAGCAGCGAGTTAAAATAAAGATGATAAAATGTCCGGTCAATTTAGCATTTCATATGCTACTACATATAGGTTTTCAAAAGTAGCAGTTATGAAACAGGGATATTAATGAACCTGGAGTAAGTAAAGTCTGAAAGTTGCCGCTCCAGGGTAATGGGGTGTGGGTCCAAGGCTGAGGAAAATGTGTTTAAAATGTTTTTTTTCTCTCTCTCTGGCCCTAAGGAAGGCTAATTTTGTTAGCTGAAATATTGTTCTCAAATAAATCAGCCCTTTGCAATATTGCCAGCCTTGCATTCAGTTTTGTTTTTGTTTTTGTTTTTTATGTATATAATTTTTTGTTACAAACATTTCCCTCCTTTGATAACGCATGAAAGCAACTCTTAGAATTCAGAAGCACAAAGTAAAAGTATCAGAAGCGGAAAAAAACAGGAAGCGAGAGTTTAGTTTAACACTGATCATTTAAAAGAAATATTAAGCTTATAAAAGCAGAAGAAAAGCAGGCATCTCTAAAACTGAACGCCCAAATTATGCTCCTGTGCGCTAACTTATGACATTATTACAGTATTGTATAATAACCATAAAAATCCCCACTCTAAAATTCGAGAGAAAATCTTACCGCTAACTCAATTACAATAGAAAGTACTAACCTTTGCACTTTGCTGTTTCTTTGCGATTTTCGATTTCGGCGCCATGTTATTTCCAGGAAAAACTGGGGGCGACTGGGAGCGAATAAACAGGCGCATGCTTTTAAAGACAAAAAGTACGTTCCGCTGACAAACTTTTCACATAATGATCGATTTTCTCATGGAATGGTAAAATTCGGTATTCTCGTTCACGCGATATCAGGAATTGAATCAATTGAATATGAAATCTGGCGAGAACTGTCAGAGAAAAACTACGCATCTTTAAAGCAACATCAGCCCGTTCTTCATGGCACATTACAAACTTCTTTCTTCCTCAAAGTTCTCAAGAAAGTATCCTGATGATCCAAGAACAGAGGTGCTGAGTTACTCAATGAAGTTCTTGAGGAATTGAACAGTGCAGAAAGAATTTCAATTTTAGCAGTTCATTCCTACAATGTACCTGACAGTCCGTATGGGCGTAAAGGTAAAACAACACCGCTTATTATTGCTGTTAAAAATGGAAAACTTGATTGTGTGAAAATACTTTTGAAGTACAATGCAGACGTTGAAGGAAAAGGGGATTTTGAGTTTGCACTCTATCCATATCCTTATTTCTGGCGATTTGTCACACCTCTGTGTGTTGCTGCTGCTTATGGAAATCTTCAAATTTTGAGTTGTTTAGTTGAAAATGGAGCTGATATCAATGCAGCCGCAAATTCTGTCCATGGTCACGCGCTGCTGATGTTTGCCGTTCATGAGAATCACATTGATGCAGTTAACTATCTTCTTTATCAAGGGACAGATGTAAACATGCAACAGGAATCTGGTTATACAGCTCTCCACATTGCTGCTGCGAATGGTTATTTTAACGCCTTGAGGTGCCTAATTAAATGTGGCGCTGATGTTAATGCACGAAACGAAAACAATCATACTCCTTTGATGTTGGCTTGTGACAATGTCAATAGAAAAGTAACAGACAGCATATTAAAAAATGTTGGTCGTAAAGAGACAAGTAGCACTTGCAACTATTTTAATACTGTAGCCTTACTCATCAATCAAGGTGCTGATGTTAACCTGCAAGACAATTCTGGTTATTCAGCTCTGCACTTTGCTGCTGGTAGTACCTTCACAGCCCTGATTATTATTGAGACTGATGTTGATATAATCACAGGCGACAACTGCCCCTGTGAGTTGGTACCTTCATTTCAGCGTGACGATGTGAATGTTGTGGACTTTCTTCTTCAAAATGGAGCTAATGTTGATCTTCAAGATAAAGAGGGTCAAACAGCTCTCTTCCATGCTTTACGGAACCAGGGCATCCCTTATGGCATTTTAAGGTCTCTGCTTAAAAATGGAGCCAACCTTAACACTAGTAGAAATGACAAAAGCACACCTCTAATATTAGCAACACAAAGTTTAAAGAACGCTGTGGAACAACTAGTACCATGGCTCATTGACAATGGAGCCAATGTAGATCCTCAAGACAAAGATGGTCTTACACCTCTTCACTATGGTTGTATGTATGGTAACTCATGTGAGGTTTTGAATGGTTTGATTAAACATGGGGCCAATGTCAATGCATCTACAAGTAATAAAGTCACTCCTCTCATGAGAGCCGCTGAAAATTGTAACGTAAATGCCGTCAGCCTTCTTATTGAACATGGAGCTAACGTGACTCTTCAAGATGAAGATGGTGATACAGCGCTTCACTATGCTGCAAGTGAACAACGCTGTGTGGATAAGACTCAAATGTAACAAACTATCGCGACACTCTTAACAGCTGGAGCATCCTGTTTGTCTAAAAAGAGTCATGGAGTAGCCCCTCTTCTTACAGCTAGTAATAGCGGCGGTATAGAAAAGGTATATTTTTTAATGCAGCGACCTGAGATAACCAAAGAGCAAAGAATTGATGCTCTAGAGCTTCTTGGAGCTTCTCTGTCTCTTGACCAGTATGATTTGGAAGGATTTAGATTCATCAAGCATGGCATGAAAGAAAGGTTTGCTGATCCTTTCAAAACTATGTTAAAGCGGCAAATGGAACCCATTGAAGCTTATCAGAACAGAAAAGAAAGTCAAACTCTTGAGGAGCTTGCTGAAATTGAAGGTGATGAAAATGTCATGATCATGGAGAGCCTTGTTGTTAAAGAAAGAATTCTTGGAAGGAACAGTGAAAATCTACTAAAATCAATTAGATGTGCTGCTACTTACTATGAACACCATCCTTTTTCTCCATGTAAGTGTATAGGGCTGTACAGACATGCAATGAAAATAGCCCGGTGCTGCAATTAGTCAGCTACATTTGATTTAACTCATATTACCAAATTATTGGAAAGCTGGCTGGAGAATGGTCTTCCCAAAGAAGAGCCTTATTTTGAATTGCTAGACCAAACAGTTCTTGATCATGACTATGAGCTGCAAAGAAAAGTGACCAAAGAACAAGATCAGTCTCTTTTTTATTCTTTACTCCGAATTCTTCAGATGCTGAGCGGGAAGAAATTTGGTAAAAAGAACAACTTTTCAAATGCAGCAAGTTTATTAAACACTATTTGTAAGTTAAACCTGAGAGATGATAACACAAATACATTGTTGCATCAGCTTGTTAGATATCATTCCAGCCATCCTTCATGTTTGTACGCTTGTGTAGTCAAACTTCTTTTGAATGCAGGATTCAATAGTCATGTTAATGCTGTCAACTACAAAGGAGATACTGCGCTTCACATAGCTGTCACTTTAAGACCTTGGAGTGGTGAACACATCCATCTTTTAACTGAAATGTTGGAGGTTTTGTTTGATGGAGGTTCTCATCATGATTTTGTAAACAATGATGGTAAAACACCCATGGACATGGCTCAAACTGATGAAGCTTGTATGATTCTTTCTGAGAGAAGAAAAGTAGAGTTAAAGTGTATCAGTGCCAGAGTTGTCAAAAAGTTTAGAATTCCTTATTTGGGGGTGGTACCCAAAACACTGGAGAGATATATAAGCATGCATTAAAACTATTAGTTTATAGACAAAGCCTAGCAAAACTTATAGCAAGACATTCTCCACCCTTATCTTATACAGTAGCACAAAAATACTTTATTATAAATTATGTTCTTCTGGTACGCCCTGATGGTTTTGCTGCCATTTCAGGAAATTTGGCTTCTTTTTTAGGTTTTTTAGAGCTCTCTAGATTTATTTTCTGCTTTTAGATGCTATAACCCTGTCTGTATAGTTATTAAGGTATCATTTATTAATTGATTTTTGTGTTGAAAAGTTACAAGGGGTCGATTGAATCAATATATAGAGAATACTTCATGGAAAGTGCTGGCGTACAGTATTTACACACAAGTTGTTTTTTTATTAGAAATCGAACGAGTGAGCGCAGCGAACGAGTGAGATTTCTGATACAAAAACAACGAGTGGGTAAATACCGTACAAAGCACTTTACATGTGGTATTGTGTTTATTGTATACATACTGAGACATTCATCATTTTGGTGGCCTTTTTATTTTAAATCTTTCCAAAATGCTTAAATTTGCCGCTACACACCACGAAATAACAATGAAAACGAAGTATCAGCTTTTTAGTAGAAATGTTTCTTAAAAACATATATGACAGTAAGGATATGAGGTAATCCAAGAACTACAAGTAATCTTAACTGTTTGTTCTGAACGTACAATTGAAAACGAGTGAATTTAAGTGAAATGGCCGGTTTCAATAAAAGCTTAAGCTTATAAATGGAAGACAAAGTAGCTCCGACAAAAAGCACAACATAAGCTTACGTCTTGTTCTGTTTTTCCACTTCCGCTGTTGTTTCGCCGGCTCTCCACAGTTTTCTTTATTGACAGTGAAACAAACAAAACTATTCCACTCCATTTCTGAAATGTTGTTCACGTTGCGGGGAAAAAGAAAATATGTTGACGCCCCCTAACTGAGGGACATCATTTTAGCAATAATGTCCCAAGTATTCTGAGAACACCCACTTTTGAGAAAACAACCAAATCTGGCCAAAAAAATACCAGATTGGCTGTGAAACAAGTCGGAAAAAAGGAGACGATTTTAAGATTGTTTTATTAACCCATTTGTCCCTGAGTCGCCCGTCACGTAAACGCCAGTGTGGTTCCACGTCCATTCTACTGCTGCTTGTGACATCATAACCTGTTGAGAGCAAACCGTTTACATAAAAACCCATAAAACAGCCATAGATCGGCCCGTGGACCACACAGGAGAGACGTAACACACATTTTAAGTAAGGTAAGCTGTTTTTTATTGAAATCCTTTCATTTTCGTAGGTTACAGAAACAATAGGTTTTTTTCCCATACAAATCCTTATTTTTTGAATGTTACGCAACAATGCCGATGCTCGCCGATGCTCATATTTCGAGCTTGGGCTACCTGTGAGTAAATGCCTAGCGATAGAAACAACGAGGAAAGAAAAAGTGAGAAAGAGGGGAGAAGGAAAAGCGAAAGAAAAAAGTCGACACTGATGTGTCACTTCTATAAAGATCGGGCTACTTGTAATGAGAATTGCGCTGTTTTAAGTCACTACTGTGCTGAAGTCATCACTTACACAAAAAGGTCCTGTACAGTGAAGAGTTAAGAATCATAGAAGATATCAAGCTCTGAAGTATTTCAAACCAAACTAAAACGGGAAACTTTTTGCTTCTGTGCATGCCTGAACTTCGGACAGTTTTTAGCTTATATTTTGCATCTAAAACAGAAGGTCGCGAAGTGCACGACCAGCAAAGAGCTTTTTGGAAATTAAACCAACGGTTTTCATCAAAATTCTCTAGAGGCGTAATTAAATGTCTTAAATAGGTTAGTGTTTGCATCACACATGTTTTGAAATGCGAAATTTTTCATAATTCTTTGCCAGATATTTGGAACTAGCTATTCTTTTGTGCGGAACAACTAGAATTCATGTACTGTAATTTTTTATCATATTAGGACATTGGGACAAAGGATCAAAGTTAGGTGTCCTGCGTTTGGAAGGTGATGGTAAGGCTCTGCAAGGAGGGAAACTGGAATCTAGAATTCTTGCTTTCAAAATGGCTGCTTCGCCGATTCTTCGCCTGCTTCCGTGTTGAAAGATAAAGATTCCTTTCGTGTTGAACCGACGAAATTTAACCGCGGTTAGAAACCAGAGTTTAGTTTCCTCTGTGGCGCAGGCTGTGTAGAACCATGAGAGAGCTAATAACGTTTAAAAAATGGACTGACAAGCAGCTTTTGGAGAAAAAAAACCAACCTCATCATCTCATGATATTGGGCTAAAAAGCAGGAGAGAATAGAGGAGATTCTCTGGAATGCGCGTTCTGTAATAACCTTCGTTCACTATGGAAAACAGTACAGAGGTCTTGAAAGTTGTGATTTCTGGAAATGCTGCGCAACTAAATGAAATTCTTCAGAGTTTGAATAGTACGGAAAGAGTTTCTGTTTTAGCTGCCCAAGACTACACTGACGAGGCCTTAAAAAGGAAAAACGTTATTGGAATTCCTTGTAAAACCACACCGTTGATAGTTGCTGTTCAAAGTGGAAATCTCGATTGTGTCAAACTACTACTGAATTACAAAGCAGACATTGAAGAGCAGGGAGAGGGCTTTAGATATCCTGATAATGAGTTTGTTAGGCTTGGGGACGGCTATCTGGAATCTGACCTTGTGTGCATGGGCACTGGTCCGCCTTTGCTTTTCGCTGCCGCTAACGGACATCTTGATATTTTAAGTTATTTATTTGAACAAGGAGCTAACGTTAATGCATTGTTGCCTTGAAAACCGGATACATTGATGCATTTACCTTTCTTATTGATAAAGGTGCGGATGTAAATTTACCAGACTATCAAGGTTATACAGCTCTACACTATGCTGTTAAAAGCAAGAACTTTGATGCCTTAAGTTGTTTAGTTCATAACGGGGCTGATGTTAATCTCTTTACATCAATGTATAAACATACACCTTTGATGTTGGCCTGTCAATCTCATAACATGGATGCCATAAATTTTCTACTAAACAAAGGGGCTAATGTGAACCTTCAAGACAGAAATGGGCAATCAGCTTTGCACTTTGCTTCCTCAGACATTTGTTATTGGTTGATTCAAAATCTAGCTGATGTTAACATGTGTGACAATCATAATTGCACCCCACTGATGCTAGCTAGCAGGAACAGTGATTTCAAAAAGGTAGCCATGCTTATTGAGAATGGAGCAAAAGTGGATCTTCAAGATGTGGATGGTAATACTGCTCTACACCATGCTGTGAATAACCCAGTACTCCACTACACACGTGAAATTTGTCTTGCACTTTTGACTGCTAAGGCATCCAATCTGTGTAACAGTCAGGGATGGACACCTCTTCTTCTAGCCAGTAAAAACTGCATTGAATCAGTGGTACAGAAATTTTCAAAGCAGCCAGAAGTAACAAAAGAGCAAAAAGCTAATGCTCTAGAACTACTTGGAGCCTCTGTTTGTTTGAAGAGTGGTACCTTTGCTTATTATAAGGATATTCATTTAGCTAAAGGATTCAACTACTTCAAGCGCGGCATGAAAGAAAGGTTTGCTGATGCTTCCCATCCTTTGTTAAAACAGCAAGTGGAACCTGCTGAAGCTTATCAGAACAGAAGAGAGTGTCAAACTCTTGAGGAGCTTGTTGAGATTCAATTTGATGGGGTTGCTATCATCATGGAAAGCTTTGCTATTAGAGAAAGAATCATTGGAGCTAACAATGTAGAACTACTCAAACCAATTGAGCATATTGCTGAACGCTTTTGCAGAAGCGCCCCTGGTCATTTTTACAGACTAAGTATACCTCTGTACAGATATGCAACAAAAATTGCCCAAGGGCGTATTGAAGAATGTTTTGAATCTGCAGTGTCATGTTTATGGCATTTAACGGATGTATTGTACGAATGCAAACAATATTCTGATAGAGAGCTTTTGCTAGAATTGCTTGAGCTAACAGTTTTTTTGTGTGAGAATTGGCCAGACTACTATGGACATTACCAGTCTGTCTGGCATATAGAGTATGATGATAAAAAAGTGTCACTGTTTGATTCTGTGGAGGCAGTGATACATATGATTACCAAGAATCTCCAAAATGGTGAAGAAGATGAAACATACTCAAACGTCTTGGTTTTGCTGAGAAAACTTTTGCGCCATAATCCTAGATGTAGGAATCATAATGGCACACTGCTTCATGTTAGTACTTATTCAACTGAAGAAATCATTACTGATATTGTTCCAAGTGCTGATACAGTGAAATTGCTTTTGAATGCAGGATTCAATGTAAATGCCACTGACTGTGATGGAGACACCCCACTTCATAGTGCTGCTAGTTTAGAACCTGGCGATGACTTGATTCATCAGGTACCTGAAATTATGAACGCTTTGTTTTATGGAGGTGCTCACTATGATTTTGTTAACAATGATGGTAAAACACCCATGGACATGGCTGAATCTGATGAAGCTCGCATGATTCTTTCAGAGAGAAGAAAACTGGAGTTAAAGTGTATCAGTGCCAGAGCTGTCAAAAAGTTTGGAATTCCTTATTTGGGGGTGGTACCCAAAATTCTGGAGAAATACGTTAGCATGCATTAAAATGGAATGGTTATAGAAAAAGTGTGGAAAAACTCATCGCATGACATTCTGCACCGTTATCTAATACAGTAGAACGAAAAGACTTTATTATAAATTCCTCTGGTGCATGCTGATGGCTGCCATTTCAGGGAATTTAGCTATTCTTTTTCAAGTTTTTTAGAGCACCCTAGATATATTTTCTGGTTTTAAACCCTTTAACTCTTTCTGTGTTATTGTTACAGGGGACATTGGCATACCTTATTATAGTTTTTAATACATTTCAACTTCTTGTGAGTGACTACTTAACGCTTTAAGCCCCAATATCCAAATACAAATTCTTCAAACTGATTTCTATACATTTCCTTTAAGAATTGGTTGAGAGAGTAAACAAATTAGATCAAGACGTTTTTTTGTTAGTGATCATTTTTTTACTTCTCATAACCTTATTTCTTGACTATGTATGGATACTGTCGGGAGAAAATTGATGTTGGTTACAATTGGGGCTTAAAGGGTCAAAAAACAAAGATTTACTGGTGGCTACAAGATTTGAACCACAGAAGTTGTCTTCTGTGAAGAGGTCCAGACATATCTAGTTGTCAGAAGATAATAAATATCCATGCAATGAAACAGTTTGTGTGTAGTTCCCCGGTATAATCTGAGTTGTGTAACTACAGCAAACATAGTGATCAAACCACCATATATGTAATGACCTTGTCCTTATGTAATTCCTCCCCAAAGAGATGCTTAGAACCCTGTGGATGAGGTTGACAAGGGTTTGTATGGGAAACCACTCAACGGTGACTGGGTGGCAAGTAGGGGTGGTGAATGGCAAAATCTGAGACTCGCAAGACGCCAAGATCCTTGTTAGAAAATAATCCGAGCCCGAGATTCTTTGGTAAAAAGTTTCAAGACTCAAAAAAAGTAAAACAAACCATGCAAAAACGAGACTTAAAGACTTATCAAAAACGCTTTCAATGTTTTCAAGATGCTGCCAAAATTTTCCAAGACCCAGGTTTTTCAAGGTGCCATTCACTGCCCCTGCAAGTGTTATTATTCTTGTACAAACCCTTTAAACTCTCGGCGGATGTTGCAATCATAACTTTTTTGACATATATACCACTCAAAATTCAAAAGTAACTTTTTTCGTCTTTACGGAAAATTGATCACGTGACAAATTATTGCAAAAGGCCTAAGACAGGTCACTACTTTATTGATAGGTTAATTACTCCACCAAATAGTTTCCCTCAACCAAAACTAGTTGTTTTGGCTAGAAGACACTTGTGGTTTTGTTTATTTGTCTGTAGGACGGTGATCTGTTCTGACTTGTAAAATGTGACCTGTTAAAAAAAATTATACCAATGTGTCCGATACTGTTAAAAATGTTAAGATGGTGATCTGTTCTGACCTGTTACAGTTTAAGTTGCCATCAATGGATATCAATAATATTTTAATAGTATTAATTTGTTGTAATAAACAGGAGATCTCTTTTTAAAGTCTTTAAAAACGTTTAAGAGGTCTTCCTTCTAGACAACTCTTGAAATTACTTTCAGTCTAGCCAGGAAGATATAACTGGTAATATGAATGAAACAAAATTGAATTTAAAAAATGAAAAATAAACCTCCCATGTTTGTGTAGGAACATACAGTATTTCATTGTTAATGATCATTTTCCTTCCCTTACGTTTTAATATTCCTATGTGAAATTGTTTCATAGTACCAGTACATTTTGTCAGCAAAAGGATTACTATTTGTAGCTAGCTATTCCCTTGCAGGGGCGGATCTAGGGGGGGGGTGCAGGGGGTGCACAACCCCCCCCCCCCCACCTGAGATGACCTGCAGTTTTCTAATACAACTGGTATTCTGCAAAAAAAAAAAAAAAAAACTACAGTGAAACCTGTATTAAGCTGATGCCCTCGGGGAATGCTGTAGTGTCCGCTTAACACAGGGTGTCCGCCTAATACAGGTTTCGATAGATAACGTCATTTGAGGTGTCAAATGCCACTCAAATGAACAGTGGAAACGTTTAGCAGTACTCCAAGAGACTATGACGATATACGTTTGCATCAATTTCTTTATTTAAGCGGACCAATTGATGAAAGTACCATAAAATAGATTGTAACTTAAATTTGAAGAAATCAGATGAGTGAAACAAGCTCTATACAAGCAAAACGAAATAGAAAACAGTACTGTACTGTAAAACTAATCAAATAAGTTCGTCAAGTCAAGTTTTTTAATGTAAAAATTGAAAAATTTGTGGGTGACAATCTTTGGCATTTTCGGTATCTGGCATGTTGGGTGATGGAATGCAATTACAAGTGTCCGTTTAATACAGGTTGGAAACAATAGAAATGACCATTTCAGGTACTTTTTAGGTGTCCACGTCCGCTTAATAGAGGTGTCCGCTTAATAAAGGTTTCATTTAAAGTAAATAAGGGAAATAAATTTGGGGACTTCGGCTACTGTCCGCTTAATAGAGGGTGTCCGCTTAATTCAGGTTTTACTGTATGTGGTTTGTTGGTGTTGAAGTAGAGCAAGAGACGAGTGCACCCCTTCCTAAAAAAAATCCTGGATCCGCCCCTGCCTTGTTTGAAACAACTACAATTTTAGTTGTTGTTGTCCTTTTTTTCCTTAACATCTATCTTAGAAAACAAAGAAGTTAGGTGTCCTGCATAGTTTGATGGATGGTGATGGTAAACCTGTGCAGGCAACGGAGACTGAACACATCTACTCTTGTTTTAAACAGGGCCTCATGATAAAAAAAATTGCTGAACAAAGAAATATTTAAAATGGACAGACAAGTAGGACAAAAAATACTGCCATCATCATCCCATGATAGTGGAGAGGTGAGGTGGGAGGGAAAACAGGAGATTCTTTGGAATGTGCCTTGTCTAACCGCCTTCCTCGTGTTTCATTCGAATTCCTCTTGTCTGCCTCTAGACCATGGAAAACAGAGGCGACGTCTTCAGAGCTTTGATGTTTGGAAATGCTGCGATAGTAAATGAAGTTCTTCAGGGTTTGAACAGTACAGAAAGAATTTCTGTTTTAACTGTCCAAGATTACACTGACAACGCCGATGAATCAAATGCCTTAAACTCTCACCGCCGATAATTGCTGTTCAAAGTGATCTCGATTCTGTGAAGGCTAACATACCCTTCCGTATCAGCATCTACGATAAGAGAGAGGACTTTGCATT